TGTTAACACAAAATAACTGCATGAAACAATCTGAAACATACGAAAATGTATTGTAAAAGTAATGAACAGGAAAGGTCGCAAAAAGGATGTAGAGTAGGCACGCTTTGTGGTGCACAAAATGTTGGGTTTTTAAGAACAATTCAGTGAATACACCAGCCTCCTGAAAGCGTTAATGTTAACTTACTTAAGAAAGAAGTTAGGGCGAAGTCGGAAGATGTAAGCATAACTTTACTAAAAATTGGCCTTTGCCTTGACGTAAGTGTCGCGCGCATCGTGCAATAACAAGATCGCGGATAATCGTCGGTATCGGCCAACTGAAGTATGGTAGAATCCAATACGTCACACGTTATGAACAATACTGTACCTAGATCAGGCTGAGAGCACGGAGGTGGTGAACCATTAACCTAGACACATTGTGTTTCACAGTTAATTCCACCTCTCGTTACTTAGGAACATTGATGAGAAGATCATGGCAAAATCATACAATTGCAAACTTGCATTTACCCTGACTTCTATAAATTTATTTACATGTAAGCATGACAATACAGAACAAATTCAAATTGCACAATTTAGAACGAAATCATTAAGAAAATCAACCCATGTGGAAAAAAATCATCAGAAGAAATTAAAGATCACAGAAAACTTTTGGTTACACGCTCAAAAGATAACCGGATGACAATTGCAATATGACTACTTACCAAAACGCTGCAAAAACTGCGATTAGGAAATTGACTAACCAAAACACCGGATGAAGTGCAATTATGGCACGTTATGAAAAATATGTATAATTTGTCATTTGTTAGGGCTTAATCGATGATGACCAAGCCTTTGTACAAAATAATTCCACAAAATGCATAGCTATACCACAGATAGGTAAAGATAAGAGATGAAACCTTCAAGAAATGCTTTTCAACAGCTCAAGGTATAGTTTCACAGGTTCACCTGTTCCAGAGCATGCTGTCCCCACTAAAATCATAGCGGTTGCCTACAAATGATGTTGTGAGCGGGAATTGCAGAAAAGCCCGCCAAGAGGATTCCAAATGTGTCAGATATTGAGACGAAACCCATACTGAATTCCTTCCTTTCAGGAGGTATCTAAATAACAGCATTCACTTTTAGATGAGAATAGATAAAGAAGTGCAGATCTGAACGCTTTGGCCACATCTGACATAGTCGTTTCTCCGCGGTTAATGCAAGGGAGATGTACGATACGTAAACGCGAGTTGTACCCGCTGCCTTTGGCGTAATTTGCCTGGGTGAACGTGTGTGATGTAGGTTGCATCCGACGCGAGTTGTTCGCAAAACTATGCAGCATGCATCCTCAAGGGTCAAGATCAAAGGAAGACATATAAAGCCAAGTTGGGCAACCTTTTACATGCACAAGCTGTAGTTGCACACCACATAACAAAGTTAGAGAATGCCGAAAGTAATTTGTAAAAATCAGCCTTTGCGCCGTGTGACACTACATGTCTACATTTTTATCTTTAGCGTGTAGTGTGCAAATGACTTATTAAACTTCAAATCCTTAGATACTGCTGCACCATGCAATATAAGCCAAAGCAGATAAGGCATGGAAGTGGGAAAAACTGAAGTCTTGATACTGAGTAAGACAAAAAAAATAGTAGCAAAGTAGAGGTAAAATATCAAGCTCACCTCTTCATGGACAACCCTGTATGTGTTTACGTATGAAGCACCGCCTAACAATCCTTCATAAACAATTACGCACATTAATATAAATATATGTGATATAAACCCATCCAAAGCTTGAAAGTACAGAACAATGGCGTTAAATACCTAAAACATTGCTTAAGAGCGCAGGATTGGTAGATATAAAAGAAAGAAAAGATACCTGCATCAGCGCCAACACTGGCAATACCTTTCCTGGCAAGGAAACGATGTCGGATGATGACCGCGAAATGAACACACCCACTTGGTATAATACTTGATACCATCGATACTGGCTTTCGGGACCAAGGCCGAATCCGTGAGAACAATCAAATTCCAACAATTCCAGCTAAAGTTAACGTAAAATTATGTAAGGAACTGTGCGAGCAAAAAAAGCAAAAAAAATAAGTGATGCGATGGGTATTGCTGTAAATCAAGTAGTAACTACAGAAAAGATGGGTCA